GGAAAAGTTCCCAGCTGTAAATGTACCAAAATAAGCTCTATACAATGCTTGACTAATTCATCCCATGCTGCAGCCTTTGTTCATGCTACTAATTTAGATTTCTCTGTCGTTTTTTATCTCTAGCTGCTATAAATCTTTCACACCAACATGAATGCCCCACGCCTAACATTATTTCTACAGTTGTTATTCTGTCCTCTGGACTATTTCAAGTGTTTTTAATACAGATTCCATGTACTATACTGGTGGTACAGCCCTCATTCACTGGAGCACCTCTTTGAATCAATAGTTCGTTGCCCATCCAGCCGAGGTGACAAACTGAGGACTCCCTCTGGCACAGTAGGATCCCCAGGAGGGGGGACATCTGCCCCTCTGTTGTGCCTTCCAGCTGCTGCTTGGTTGTGGCTGGAAGACGCTCTGAGTTAACGGCCCCTGAGAGGTGGTGGTAGCAACAGAGGCACATGTGCTGGAGAAACCTCACGTTGGGTCAGTCTGGGGGTTTGCTTTGCATTTTGAAGGGGAAGTGTTGCATCAAGATACAAATTAGAATAACCATAATTCTGCACTTGTCAGTGATGGTGGGAGAGTCCTGTCCTAGTGGCTAAAGAGTAGCTCCTCTCTCTCCCGTGCAGCTAGAGAGCAATTAATACCATGTTACCATGGTTTACTTGCCCTCCCCACCCTGTGACCTGAATAACTCAAATGTTCATCTCCCTGAGTGGTTCTGGGACCAAGCTTTCCTTTGGGATGAAGTGAAAAATATGCTTGTCTTTTTCAGTCTTAATCCTTTCTTCAGTCTGTTCAGGCAGAACCAAATGGCTGGTTTAGTGTTTCTGCATGTGTCAGACAGGGATGTGTTTTGTTAGACATGTGAATATTCGTGCTTATTCATGCTTACAAGCGTTTTGCACCCTTAAGTGCTGGGTTTTTAAACCTTTGTCCCTCTTTTACCGTTTTCCCCCTTGCTAGTTTAATAACACCACTTCCTAAACCCTGCCCTTTTCCTAGATACTGACCTCATCATCTCTGGGTGCTACTCTGCTAATAAAAAAATAAAGACATGTGAATTATGAGATCCTTTATAGAGCTGCATGGAACTCATCTGGCTCGGCTGGAAGGGGTCATGTAAACCTTCTCCATCCGGTGGAGTCTGTGTGGTTTCACACCCAACAAATGTCAAAGCAGAACTCAGCTGCAACTGCCAAGTTTTGTCTGCGTTTGGGTTAAGCCATAAAAGAACCCACTAGGTTCCACATCAGGCCTTTCAGAGCTGCAAAAAAACCACCCAGGTTTGGTGAAGAGGTCAAGAATCTGGTGAACATTTTGGTAAATATGGCTTGAACAATGGCTCAAGAAAACCCTATTTTTTTCAAACTTGGTACAGCCTGACCAACCTGATCACTGGCCCATCCTGATGACAAATAGTTTTTGTTCCTTGTAGCTCTTATTTTGCATGGAAACATTCAGAATAAAAACAAAAGCACAATTTGTAGTCTTCTTCAGGCATTTGGACTGCGCTCCAAGGTTTCTGAGAAAAAAGGACTGTGGTGAAGAGGATTATCACCCACGAGCTGAGTGGAGCTGAGGAGGCACCACTTCTTCAGCTTGAAGAGGAAGGAGAGCAGAAATGGAAGCTCAGTGATGGCACCAACTCTGGTACAACCCTCCAGAGTGCCCCCTCAGGGCTCTCACAGAAGTTAAGATCCCTGCCTTGCCCAAGGTCAGAGCACACCTGCAGGCTCTGGCAGGTGAAAACACAGGGCCCTGCTTGGCAGCTCTGTGTTTTCTGGCAGCAGCGTGATTTTGGACATCAGCTGAAGGCACACAAGTGTAATACCAACCAAGGAGGACCAGACCTGTGCTTCTAGTAGTCAAGACAAGTGACTAGAATTTTTTCTGGTTCACCTTCAAAGTTGAAGGTAGAAGTCAAATATTAGCTTATTTCCTGTACATGGTGTCTTGAGAATGTTTAAAGCATTCTACTTATACTCTTTCAGAAATAAAAGTTAGGCAAAAAGTATTATCTAAACAGAATTAGAAATTATCTTAGGACACATGCGGGAAGAGACATTGATGAGCAAATTCCTCACTACCAGCTTTTCAGCATCAAAAGTAAATTCTACCAAGCCTTCTTCTGAAGTTCAAAAAGTTCAGACTTTTGCCATTGATTTGCTTTACCAGTTCTTTTCATTATTAGTTTTAGCCCTCTCCAGTTCTGTGATCTGGTGTGGAGCAATGGTCACAGAATATGACAGTTTTCCTACCAATGTAAGTCCATTCCCCTGATGCCAATGGATTTATTCCATCACAACAATTTACAGCAGGGCCACTGTGCCCTTAAAACACCCAGACCTCTGCCAGATTCTCAGACTTGCATGTTCTTTGAAAAAATATTCCGTTCCCTCACGGACTGAGGTGTACCTCAGCTTTTGGCCTTCATTTCACAAGAGTGTCAGGGAAAAACCCAGAGCCTTGATCTCTGACAGCCAAAGCACCGTGTAAGTCGATTCCTCTTTGCTCAGATGAAATGTTTTGCCTTTTTTGTGATGCAGTTTCAATGAGATCTTGTGTCTGACCACACTCAGCTGTGCTGGAGGCACAAGACTCACCTGAACCATTGAATTCGAGGGTTGTCACCCAAATCAAAATGGGACACAAGAAGAAGAGGCTACAACCCTGCTGAGGAGGTGGACCGTATCACAGCGAGTGCCCCTGTGAGAGCCACACACCACAACACAGAGCAGGGGGGAGTGGGCAGCCCTTGGGGCAGAGAGAAAAGGTCAGGAACAGGCTGAGGATACCCAGCTGGGTGATGAGGAAAATAATGATCTCAGTGCTGGAAAAAAATATACATGATCTCCCCTCTGAAATATCAGACATAGGGTAAATGGAAAGTGATTGATTTAACTTCTGCCAGCTAACAGCTTGTCAGGCCAAGGTCCTGTATTATTTTCTTTGAATAGGTTTCCTGCCTCAAATCACATGCAGTATTTTCTTTCCAGTAAGACAACAACACTAAAATGTATCACTGCCACATATTGGAAGGCCAGTGCCTTATGCACAGTACTTCCATCAATTATTTGGGACCTTCCCATTTCTTAAGCTTTTGGGAAGTCTGCAGAGGGATTTTTCTGAGCTGATTTTAGTTCCCTTTTGATTGGCCATATTATGCACCACAGTTATCATGGCAACCTCTAACAAGACAACATTGGGAAATATTTTTTCACGGCCTTGATGGATGGCTGTGCAGGCACCTGGGCCAGTGCTGGGTATGAAGTTGCACAGATAGGAGTGGCTTCATCTGCAGATCCCTAGAGATTTCCTGTCTCTTGCCAGTTACTTTCCCGGGCAGATCACGGAGGGTTATGAACCTTTGCGGGGGCACAGCAAGAAAGGGAAAAGCAAAGCAGCCCCCAGGAGCCCATCCCTGCGGCACCACACGAGAGACACCCTTACCTACTCGGAGCTCTTGTCCAAAGACCGTTTTCTCTCCCAGGGCAGAGCAGTTCCAGCGGCCGTAGCGGAACTGGTACTGGCACTCATTGATGCCCATCTGCGCCCCCTCCCCGATCACGATGATGGCATCGGGGCGGCTCTGGCAGATCGCGCGCTGCCGGGGGGCCAGCCCGGGGATCTTGTTGCAGATTATGTTGGCTCCTAAAGCCACCACGGACGACAAAGCTCTGGGGAGAAAAAGCAGAAAGGCACGTTATAGCCAGGTTGAGGTGGCTGGTTGGATTTGCCACGTGCTGCCGCGTGGCTGGCAGGGCGCTGGGCAAAAGGGGAGGTGTTGGAGGGTGGGTTCTTTGTGCCAGCTTGTCCCGGTGTCTCTGGTCTAGTAAAAGAGGCTGGAAATTTTGAGGTAATTCCTGATCAGATTTGTGCCAGAAAAAACGAACAAATGGAATTTTGGCACTTTTGCTTCCAGAGCTCGTGAGATGTGGAAAGCAAGACTTATTTAAAAACAAAAAATAGTGATAATTGATCATTCACAAATCTCTGAAACTCATGTCTGCTTTGAATGTAGATTCAGGCTCAGTGTTTCAGTTGCTGCAGCCAGGTCATCCATCCCTCATTTGAAACTGTTAAGCACAATTTAGAGAATGCTTGACACTACCAACCCTCTTGCCCATTATTACACTCAGGTTATTGAATGATTAATGAAGTTCACCAGCATAACTGTGCTTCTAGATCTGGCAAACATCGTGGTGCACATAGGAGTGATCATTAATATGTGCCATCCAGACTAGAAGCATTTGCAGATCTCATTCTTCAAGTATATTTTCAGAATTCATTATAAGGTTTGCATGTAACTTGCACCTGCCATATGTTTTCACTTTAGCATGTTTATTTTTCATTTTTCCTTTTCAACATCTTTACTGGCTCATTTTTCAACATCTTTACAGGCTACATTTTAAATGGTAATATTTGGGAAAAAAAATAAGACAACACGGATGCACCTCAGGTCACATCTCCCAGGTACCTGCCAGGCCCACGTGGAGATGATCGAACTGGGTCTGGACAAGTCAGCAATGGCACAGAAGGGCCTGGAAAAGGCCCTGCCCTGCTGCCTTTGGAGGCAAACCAGGGTGCTGAGCGTCACTGCTTCCTGCACTTGCAAGGAAGTACCTCCACAAACCCTGTCCCCTCTTTAGCTCAGTATTGGATCATCTGGGTCATTTCCTTTTCCCACCAAATGCCTCTGTAATGCCAGATCATGCTGCAGCAGCCTGGGTGTGAGTGGAGTTCCACAGTAACCTAAATAGGTCAGTAACAGGACAGATCAACCTCCCCAGTGTCTTCCTTTCCATTTTGAACACCAGCCTAAGCCTTTCTTCTTAGTGTTAAAAACTTCCCACTGGAAATGCTCCTTTTGGAAAATGCTGACTAAGCAAAATTAAAGAATTTCGTCAGAATTTATCAACTTCATCACAAAGGTAACTGCAAAATTACATCAATGCTGAATTTCAATGAAATCAGAGCATTGCATTTTGTCATTTCAGTGAACTACAGCAGAGCCAGAGCAAAAAGGGTGAAATGGAGAACTCTTCCCTGAGCAAGATGAAATACTGCTATTACTATGGAATGGAAATTCCATCCTGACTCACCCTGCCTTTAACAGGTATTTGTGCATCTTTTCCAAAGTTAACAATCCATGAGAAATGCACCAGTTGTGGTTTTTTATTTCTGGCTTGCGGGGGGTTAGAGATATGGAGCCAAGCTATCACAAACCCAGAGCATCTCTGTGGTGCTGCCTATTAAACAAAAATGGGAACAAAATGCAGTTGCAGCTCTGACCACTTGCAGTGTTTGGAGCAGGAGCACTCAGACCTGTAGCTTTAACCCATGTTCCTGTGGGTACTGAGCAACAATAGGAGCATCAACTGGAACCAGAGAGTCCCCCAGATTCATGCAGGTTTTGAGCTAAGGTTTTGTTTCTGGCAAAAAGTGTTTCTCCACTTTAAAAAAATGAGTAAAATATCTAAATTATGATGTCTTTAAATCAGGACTTCCCAAGAGATACGATAATCTTAAAAAAAATATTATGAGTTGGATGTAGAGATAAGATTCTCTGTGCAATGGCTTATGACCTTTATGGTCTTTATCTGACAGTCCTCGACTTACTGAGGCTATGCCATCAATTTACTGGCAAAAATTATATATAAAAATTGTTTGTATATGTGATATAAATATTTTTAAAACACTAAAAACTGATAAAAACAATGAGAACTTCCTGACATAATTTTTTCAAACTGGTGAGCCTCCACAGTTTCCACTAACTATTACCTCAAGTTAGTTGAGTAGCAAAACCTTATGACTTTCAAAACAAAAGAAAGCAAGAAAAAGTTGGCCACAGCATCTAACCCACGTATAATTTTCAGTTTAGTTGCTTCCTCCATACACATCACTACTCTCTCATAATTAGGTTAAAGAGTGTATTCTTTGGTCTCCCATTGTTTTTGGAGCAGGCCTTGGTCAAAGTATTTCAATACAGTGGGTCAGTTTATTCATCCAGAAAATAAGCATGATCATATCTGCCCCAGAAGGTATTGTGAGGATATTGTAATTATTATGTGTTTGTAAAGTGCATTAAAACAATTAAACTGCAATTATTGGGGGTGGAGGGTCTTAGTTTTTCTATTATTACTTCCAGGAACTTCCCCCTCTCCGGCCTGAACTTACCAGCATATTCCCTCAGACTTGTTTAGCCTACTTTTAAATTATTACTACCATTTCAGTGCCAAAAAAAAAGCTGAATCATGACACTGAGGTTTTGGAAAACTTTATTTATATTAAAGAAATGCACCCAGCAGCATTTCAAGCTTCCTCTGCCCTGCTCTTGCGGCGTCCCTCAGTGTGTGCCCCCGTCACAGGCTCGGAGGGCTGTGCTGTGCCCCTGCCCCTCGGCAGGTTGGAGGAGACAGGATTTTTTTTTTGCCAAATGGAGAATGTTTCACCCCCACGCCACATTTTGGCATCTTCTTCCATCTAATCTTCCTCTGCGGTGCAAAATCCCTTGATTCTTATCACCCCAAACTCCTGAGTGTGAGGGTTCCTGGGGCCGTTTCCAGGAACTGTGACCACCCCACAGCACGGCAGCCCCACAGGCTGCTCTGGGGTCACCCCCGGGGGTTATCCCATCCAACACCATCCACGAGGCTTATCCAGCTCTGCAGAGCTGCTGCAGGAATGTCACAGCTCCCAGGGAACTGCCCTGAGTGTCTGGCACATGCAGAGTCTGCACCTTTCTCCATCCCTTTGTCATTAATCCAAGGGAAACACCAGTACCGGAATTGAGCAATGGTTATAAACAGAGTTACACCCAAATTTAAAAAAAAAGAACCAAACACAGATCTGGGCTTGGATAGGACCCTGCAGTTCAAACTTCCATCAAACTGAACCTGCGGAACAAGGTTTTGGAAGGCCTGGTTCCTGCACCAGGACCCTGAAACATCAATTTTCTCATCCTTTGAATGAATAACAAGGGCTGTCACAGCAAGCAGAAGTTTTTGGCAGTGGGAAACAAGTTCCAGCTTATTTTCTGAAATAATGCATGTTTACTTATGCAAACACAGACAAATCCTGTCACTAAAAAAGAAAATTCTCCCTCAAAATATATTTCCTGTTATGGCTGTACCTTCCCTCCAGGACCTCAACAAGTCCAGCTTCCCTTTTCACACAGCAAAGTGAAAATTATTATATATTTCAAGCAACTCATAAAAGTAAAGGTCTTTGAAACACTTCAGAATTAAACACTAAGGTCTAAAATCATGTGAGTTTTAAGAATGTAAAATATAATTCAATACTGCTGGTTGGAAGAGAAATGTACTCTTCATTCATAGTTTGCTTTCTTGAGTCTCAATTTTATATTTGCAAATGTAATCATTTACTGAACTTGAGCACGACTCATTTCAATGATTTCAAGTGTTATTATGTCCTTGCAACTTCACCTACAGAAAGCTCATTGCTCTGCTGCCCGTGTTCACCTGGAGCTGCTGCTGCCAGGGCTTGTTTTCAGGTGGGAATGCAGGGATTCAGGGCTTGTTTTCAGGTGGGAAAGCAGGGATTCAGGGCTTGTTTTCAGGTGGGAAAGCAGGGATTCAGCTGCACGGGTTCTGTGAACGGCAGCGGACCTGGGCAGCCCAAACCCGGGCACTGCACCCGAAACCTGCCCCACTGCCTGACAGAAAACCCGCACAAGGGGCTCTTTGTTAGGAGGAATCACCGAGGCATTTTGTGGTGACACTGCGACACGTCTGAAACTGGACACCCCCACCAAATGGGGCACTTCATTAGGAATTCCTGAGTAAATATTTTGACCGTGTATGGGTTGCAGAAGTTGGCAGGAGCGTCCCGGGCTCTGAATGGCATCTGCATGTGTTTAGGCTTTCAGTTTTGTTTTCCACCCCTGCTTTGGGAAATCCTCGTTCGGTGCGTGTGTTATTGGAAGGGAAATGCAGTAAGGCTGCTGGTCCAGCCCTGGGGTGCTTTCCCTGCTGCTGAAGCTCCCAGCCAAGCCTTTGGACCTGGGGGCTGCAGACAGCAACGTGTTTGCTCCCTTCAGATGGAAGTTAGAGGTTTCTTGGGGGAAGTGACCCAAAAAAAGTGTCTGATAGGTGATGTACGTTGGTTGTTGGCATGGTCAGGAATGAAAGTGGTGGGGTAAGTGAGAAGAGGGATGACTCACACAAGGACAGAGCTTGAGAGAGGAGTGGGAGCAAAGATCTCATCCCTGTAATGCCCTAGTGATGGGGGAACATCGACCCACAGCCTCAGCCTCCTGCCAGCCAGGAGGGACAGGATGGATGCTGGGAAGCCGGCAGGGAATTATTTGGCTTCAGCAGGAAGGAGGGGGGGCATTGACTCACAGTGAGATGTGCCCAGGCCAGGGCCTCTCAAGAGTTCTCACTGCTCATTCCAGAGCAAGAGAAAGCCAAAGTGCCTGTGGCTCAGGAGTATTTCTTGCATGATGGGTCCTGAGAGTTATCCCCAAAAATGACCCCCCCATCTGCTTTTAAGTAGACCATATCTTATTTGCTGCATGACTGGTCCACTGCAATAATTTTTGTTAATCAGCCAGTGAGGCAACACTTGATAGCAGGATATCTTGAAGACTCTTACGTCTGTAGTTTACCTGGGTTCGATTTTTTTTCACCAAAGAAAGGCTCATGGAGAACAGAAAAGCCTCACATGCCTCGTGTGTCCTATTGTAAAGACCACAGCAGCAAATTTACATTTACAGTGGACATTCGTCGCCTTCCGGCAGGCATTTGGAATTTTTCATGGCAAACTACTGTATAACGAGGTTTTTCTTCCTTGTCTCCAATCATTTTACTCTAGGGGCATCTTGTTACATGGTGGAAAACACATCTTGTAGATATAAAAATTAATAAAAATAAAATAGGGTGTTAAAATATCTGAAGTGTGGGAAATAACGATTCCAAAGCAATTAGGGTTTCAAGTAGTGTTTGGTTTGCTAAACCAGAGAAAACCGATAGGCCTGTGTTGGAAGCTGCAGGAAGGCAGCACTTCTCCTGGCAGGCACAGGGCAGTTCACAAGGCTGGAATATTCCTGCTTTGGTCTTGTCAGTGATGAGGGTGGTGAATGCATGATTGAACTTATCTGCGTAAACCTAGTGAAAAATGGTGTCAATATAAAATGGTTTGATTCCTTTTATGAACAGAACTTTATCAGATCTAGAAATCCAACTGAAACGCTTCTGTTTCAGACAATTTTTTTCTTATATCTCTCTAAGCACAGTTAGCAGGACCTGCCAGTTCAGTTGTGCAAACATGCACATTGCAAAGTACCAGCAACATCCCCCAGCAGTTCCTCCACAGCCCATCCCTGAACACCAAGACACCTGGTGACCAATCCACACTTGGCATTGATGGAGTTTGCCTCCCATCCCATTTGGGCTTTTCTTTAGCACTAGAAGCAGTCAGGCTGATACCTGACAGGGAGAAACAGCTGTTTGCTAAGTACCACCCCACCACAGGGGGAGTTACCTTGCAGTAACAAATCAGGGGTATTGATTTCCCCTGGGGGGAAATGTGACTTTGAAACACCAACATGGCTGGAAGAGATAAACACAGAAACAATTCTGTACCATGGAGAGAGAAAGATTTCACACTTCAACAGGTAAAATCCACATTTTTGTTGTTTTTCATATAGCAAATAAGAATAAATGAACTTTCTCCATCATACATGACATATGCATAGATATGGGAGTTTTCCAAATTGTATCAATTTTGAGCCTTAATTAAACTTAACTGAAGTGCATATTTCAGCTCTGTCCAAAGTTTGGCAGTCTGTTCTCTCTTGTGAACAGGTTAAAAGGAGAAGAGAAAGGGGAGGTCCTGCAAGCAAAGTCTAAGATTTAGCAAGACTGTTAATTTAGCAAGACTGCTTAATTTGTGAGATCTGGTGAAAGTGTGTCACAGTCTCATCAGACCTTCAGGCCTGTACCTAGAAGTTGGACATTACTATAAAATAGCTGCAGTCTGAGAAAGCCTCCAGTGGGTAAAAAAAAGTGGGGAACCCCCCAGAAACTGCAGAATATAAAAGATATACTTCATCTGCAGATTTCCAAGCATTCAAAACATTATTGTATGCAGCAC